GGGAGAAGAAGCCTCAAGCCACGCGGTCCGGACCGGGATAGCGAACCGTGTCTAGTTCTGCCGTAGTGTGGTTAGATGGGCATTCGAGACCCGAGCTTAGGTTGTGTTATGTTACGTACTGTTATGTGCATAAATAGTGTTGCTCCCAAATATAACGTCTGTGACTCAGTTGAACGCACTACAATAGTATCCTTTTCCTCAACAAGTAAATCATTGCAATTGAGACGGAACAAAGCACCACAGTGCAAGGGAGATGGAAAAACACGGCCAAAATAATAGTAGACTATTTAATTGAATCGTGACAATTAATCTAATGGCTAGTGGAGTGAATTATTGCATGTTTACCATCCAATCATCAGCCTCTTACTGGACCACGATGGTTTCAATCAAAATATCCGGCCGTCATCTGCGTGTCTAAATCCTGCATCCACACTCGATTCATTTGCAGCTCATTTAGAAAATTACATCACCACTTTGTTGATGAACTGGGGCCTATCCGAACAAGCACAAATAGAACAGAGAATGTGTGCAATAATTATCTGTCACCGGAGGTGATCGTTGCGAAGCAGACGAGGAGGAGGCTGCAGCATCTTTGGAAAAAAATGGTTTTGAGACAACTCACTTACAGAGCCACCTGCAGATCTGTCAACTGACTCACGATTGAGTCTCGCAGATCGTTCTATGCTCTGCACGTCAATGAGTCGGCTTGCGACCACCGTGGTCTTTGACGCATCTGTTGGTTTTCAACCACCCATTAACGAGGCAACCAGGTCTATGTGTAGTGACATAGAATTTGTCATGTAGCATAGCGCTGGCTGCTGGCGGGGAAGGGGATCTGCAGCTTATAGCAGCCCTGATTACAGCAGGCGAGGTGATACACCAGAGAGGGATCTAGGGGAAAGGTCACGGAAGGGGCACACGGGGAACCCGTGGGTAGGTTCTAGAAAGGGGGCGTGGCCAGGGGCTAACACAGTGGCGTGTAGCAAAGTATCGACAAGGCTTGATTATTGCCACTCACTATTGTACGGGACGTCTAACAAAAAACATAATTACAAAGCTGCAGCGTGTACAACGTTTTGGCACGTGTCGTGATGGGAACTGCACGATCCGACCGTCCAGGCCTCACCAAGCTAGATTGGCTTTTGGTTGCCTAGCGAATACATTATTAGGTCGCGCTCATTACACATAAAGTGCTTGCCACAACTGAACCACAATACCTTGCCGATCTCAAAGGATCATAAACCATCACACGAACTCTGGTCTTCCTCGCAGTGGATTTTGGCTAGCTATCGAGCAAAGACGGTCACTGGATTGTACGCTTTCAGGTGCGCTTCTGCGACCGTCTGGAACGTTATTCCTTCCGATATTAGGAAGCCATCGCAGATACGAACTTTTAAATCTAGTTTGAACACTAATTTTTTTGAATTGCCTTTTGTGTTTAGTGTGTTGTCCTTGTCCAGCACCTACGATTATTTGCATGGCTAGCTACGTACAGTGTGAAATAAGTTCAAAATACATACATATACTCTCTACAGGCTGACGCATCAACACCCTGCACAATGAAAACCCTCCACAGTGCGCTATGAACACCCTACTTGCTGCGATATGAACACAGTGCATGCTGCACACTGAACACAATACTCGCTGCACCATGAACACCAACTACTCTGCACTATGCACACCCTACACGTTGGACGATGAACATTCTACACGCTTAACCATGAACACCCTACACACTGCACCATGACCACCCTACACACTGCACTATGAAAACATTACATGCTTAACCATAATCACCTTACACGCTGCACCATGAACACCCTATACGCTGCACTATGTACACCATACACGCTGCAGATGGAACACTCTACACGCTTAACCATGAACACCTTACATGCTGCAAAATGAACACCCTATATGCTGCACGATGAACACCCTATACGCTGCAGAAAGAACACTCTACATGCTTTACCAAGAACAACATACATTCTGCATTATGAACACCCTACACGCTGCACCATGAACAATCTACATGCTTAACCATGAACACCCTAAACACTGTACCATGAACACCATACACACTGTAGAATGAACAGGCTCCACCATAAACACCATATTTGTGTTAAGTCATTCGTTCTTGGACTGAGACCATATATCAGCTCAACACTTTGCTTGCTCTCTGCTCACTTCCCCTGATCTCTGAAGGGTGATTGACGAATACACGTGTTCTTGTTAATTTTGCTTTTGCGCCACTGCCAACACAGCTACCAAATTATGTATTTACTGTGATCTCAACTCGCATCAGATGGAGGAAGATGGACCATGGACCAGCCCTTCGGTAGAGGAGTCAAGTTCGGTGCAAGTTCACAGCGGCTTTAGCAGGAGCCTCAGGGTCTCGTGTCTCCTCCAGTGCCGTCAGTCTGTCAAACACCCCGGGCTCGAGCTTCGTGATCTGATTGTTGTACAACCACAGGCCCTGCCTGTCGGTGGGGATTCCAGCAGGCACAGACGTGAGGCGTTTGCTCTGGCAGTACACAGTTGTCTGATCGCACGAACACTGCGAGGGACGGGCGACGGTTTAGAGGCGGCTCACAACGGCCTAGCCTTGCACGCGAGAGACATCGCGTGTGGTCCAACATTTACACGAGTTGCCTGTTCTTGAAGATCTCCGTGAAAATGTTTTCCCCCTAATACTTTAAAGACTGCTTCGTTTGAACATCTACATGCCGTAAATACTGACCACTTTTGAGGTTTGTTTTCAGTTGTGTTGTATTTGCGTCTAGTAGTTCACTTATTAGTAAATCTATAGAATAACGAATTAATATCTTTCTAAGGTCTCTCTTGCGAATAGAAGTATACATTACAAGTGGCTATCACTGACTTAATATGAAATGTATATTTATCAATATGTGTTTATGTAATCATACACAGCCATGATCAATCCACTGCGAGCCGTATTCACGACCATGCAATGTAGTAATCTACCTCGCACCTCCACACGAGCTGCTGTCATTACTCCATCTCTAAAAGTGAACGCCCTTCCGGGCACGTTCCCTCCTTTGGGTGCTACTCCGCTGTTGTTATCGACCATCATCCCTTCTCGTGCCATATCCTAGCCAAGCCAGCTTACTTTTGTAAACCGTTAAATACCATTCACAAGCGTTTCTTCGCTGATCGTTGCGTTATTGTCTCTGCCTCTCAATCTATCCAAGCTTGCAACTCGCAGTGCTACTGTGCGCATTTCTCAGTCGCTTTCGTTCGCCTTTTACTCGCATTTTTTTGTATTCTTATAGATGTTGGTGAACCCAGCAATATGGAAACATTTGCTGTTCAAATTACAGCTTTGTCGAGTTGGCGGTGATTTGTTAACTCATACAGAGGGTGGGCTGAGAATGCGAGTTTACTTGAGTGTAGAGTCGAAGCGTCGACTCTAGTGACCGGCAGTCGCGCCTCTGAGAACGCTCTTCAGCTGGTTGTTGCTCAGAGACAACTGCTGCAGATTCCCCAGGCGGTCAAACAACCCAGAGGGAAGAGCCTGCAGCTAGTTGCTATTAAGATCCAAAATAGACAACTGGGTCAGACTGTTAAACACCCTAACGGCTACTCATGGCTTAGGATGATGATAGTGACAGGTTCTTTCAAAGTGAACTCTCACCACTCGCACGATAAAAATCCTTTCACATGAAGTTATTAACCAGACCACTTGCAATCTCTTCCATGCAGGCACGGCAGGTGACAAAACCTCAATTTGCTATCACAGACACTTCTGATCTCAAACAACTCCGACTCACCTCACATGAAACCTGACAGTTAAAGTGATTCCAGTTACTTCCATCAAGACCTGCTAGATAAAATTAATGTAATCTACTTGCATAAACACCTGTGAGATTAGGAGACCTTAATTCCCTTTCATTTAAATAAGTGTCAAATAAATCCACTTGAGTTCATTTCATACAAAACCGCGTTACTAATTACCACGTGATCCATTCGCTTTGATGCCTCTCACAGAGACCTCTTACATTCACTTCGATTCGCTTTCACAGAGAAGCATTAACTCGTGTCTCCTCCAGTGCCGTCAGACTGTCAAACACCCCAGGCTCGAACTTCGTGTGATGTGATTAGCCTGGTGAATCTGCAGCAGCTGGGTCTGTACAACAACCAGCTGAAGAGGATTCCCAGGGGCGCGTTTGACAAAAGGATCCAACACAGTCAGGAACGGCCACTGCTGTGTCGCTGGGCAACGGGATAGAGATGACACTCGTCATCAGTAGCTTTCAGTTTGTAAGGCTACCGCGTTATTGACATCCACAGCCATCGTCATCATCATCGTTGTCATCGTGCCCTCTTGTGCTACAAGTTGGTCTGCAGTGTCACTGCATATTAGTGAATAATGAGTGAATTGTGTGAATAATGAGAGCTGATTTTGATCGTTAACAGAAACTTGCATGTGCCGTGCGGGTTTGTGGTAGTGCAGCAACAACAACAACAATAACAATCACAACAACAACCACACAGCAACGCAAAGCAAAAAAATTGCAATGTCAAAACAAACTATACAACAGCACAGCGCAACAAGAGCGACTACACACGCAGCACCAGGAGCGCAACATTCTCATCAAACAGGAATTAGGCAAACGTCCTATTGGTGCAGCATCATCCTGAAGCAAGACTCGGTACTCGATGAGGCTCCCATGGACAGGGGAAATCCAGAATTAATTCTACTGATCGAGAAAAAAATGTTCCAGAGGGAATGCGAGGCGAGCTCTGAACACCGTCCGGGTCGCTGTACTGCACCGCACAGACAGCGGGCGCGGCATGGAGCGAGGTGCCGATATGTGAGGTGAACACGACGCCGCTAACGCGACCTAGGGACCCGTGTTGAACTCCACTGCCGTGTGAAGAACGACGCTCTCTTGTAGAGGCTGCTCTACAGCAAGAGGCGGCGGCTGCTGATCCGCAGATCAGAATCGTGCTCAGTGATGAACTCACAGCTCTCCCCGCTGGGGTGTTTGACAGTTTAACGCAACTGACTTATCTCAGCCTTCATACCAACCAGCTGACAGCTCTACCCGAGGGGGTGTTTGACCGACTGGTCAATCTGCAACAGCTGTTTTTGTATCAGAACCGACTGTCGTTCATACCCGCCGGAATGTTTGACAAACTGACGAATCTGAAGGATCTTAAGCTCTACAGCAACCAACTGACGGTTCTGCCTGAGGGACTGTTTAACCGCCTCATGAATATAGTGGTTCTGGATTTGTGCTGCAACAAGTTCACACAGCTGCCCACTGGCATTGACAAACTCGCCAAGCTGACGCTGTTGGCTCTGCAAGGAAACCAGCTGAAGAGCGTCTCTGACACAAAGCATGACTGTTGAGCATGGAATCAGCTGCTGCTGACGATCTAAATGCTCGTGCTGATGATGAATGATGACACTGATGATGATTTAGAAAGCTTTTTATCATTACACATTCCTACCAGTCCCCAAAAAGACGATGATGATAAAATGCTACAAGTTATTATAAATGACAATTATTAACAGTTGACGGGTAGGAAGATGATCACAAAAACAGATAATGTTGTACTTCTACTGAAACTATCAGTCTACCGTGCATCGCACATTAAGAAAATGGTTATGACTTAATGTTTTGCAAGAGGCTGACAATGCCGCATTCGCACTCGACTCATCCCACACGGGACGTCCCGTGCGAGCGCAGATCATTTCGTCTGAACACATTGCGTAGGAACGCACGCGTGTGTGCCCCTCGCTGTACAGAGGCGGGGACGCACACGTGGGGCTCTGCGGCCTGTGAAGAAGCCACGCGGTCTCCGGCGAGCCTGAGTGAAACCGAACAGCCGGGTTCGACCCGCCCCACTGAGCGGGTGTTTGACCATCTGACCCGATCGTCGCGACAGGATCCGGCGAATCTCAAACAGTCGCTGCTCCAAAGCCAATGAGCCGACGGTTCTGCCCGCTGGGGTGTTTGATTATCTGGTGAATCTTCACGGACGGCACTTGTTTGGAGGATACATTCACAATTCTTAGCTCAACATTACCCTACATTATTCGGGAGCGGCGCAAAGTTCAGTTTAAAACAGGTAAACTCCAAGAAAAAAAACAGGTTCAACAGCTGTGATTCACGTGCAGAGATGAGCCAGATAAATGTCAACACCTTGGCTTGGAGACTCGGCTCAGCAGGTGTCGCACGGTACGTAGCCAACCGTGCTAATATGAGGTGCGCGACGTTGCTCGACTCTGTCCATGAAACTTCACTTTCACGCGCTCCACGTGACCACACATTTTCAGGCAGGCGAGGAGGCAGGCAGGGAGTTCAGGCTCCAACCCGCTGCCGAGACTCTACAGAATGAACCGGCACACCTGCACCGGCCCATTGTATCACATGTTATGGGTAGATCGGTGGGTACGTAGACGGTGAGTTATACCTAAGCTTAAGCAGACCGATCCTCAGGTGTAATTGTCTAGATATATGCGTAGGTGCAGTGAGGGAAAAAAGTATTTGATCCCCTGCTGATTTTGTATGTTTGCCCACTGACAAAGAAATGATCAGTCTATAATTTTAACGGTAGGTTTATTTGAACAGTGAGAGACAGAATAACAACAACAAAATCCAGAAAAACGCATGTCAAAAATGTTATAAATTGATTTGCATTTTAATGAGGGAAATAAGTATTTGACCCCTCTGTAAAACATGACTCGGTACTTGGTGGCAAAACCCTTGTTGGCAATCACAGAGGTCAGACGTTTCTTGTAGTTGGCCACCAGGTTTGCACACATCTCAGGAGGGATTTTGTCCCACTCCTCTTTGCAGATCTTCTCCAAGTCATTAAGGTTTCGAGGATGACGTTTGGCAACTCGAACCTTCAGCTCTCTCCACAGATTTTCTATGGGATTAAGGTCTGGCTAGGCCACTCCAGGACCTTAATGTTCTTCTTCTTGAGCCACTCCATTGTTGCCTTGGCCGCGTGTTTTGGGTCATTGTCATGCTGGAATACCCATTCACGACCCATTTTCAATGCCCTGGCTGAGGTAAGGAGGTTCTCACACAAGATTTGACGGTACATGGCCCCGTCCATCGTCCCTTTGATGCGGTGAAGTTGTCCTGTCCTCTTAGCAGAAAACACCCCCAAAGCATAATGTTCCACCTCCATGTTTGACGGTGAGGATGGTGTTCTTGGGGTCATAGGCAGCATCCCTCCTCCTCCAAACACGGCGAGTTGAGTTGATGCCAAAGAGCTCCATTTTGGTCTCATCTGACCACAACACTTTCACCCAGTTGTCCTCCGAATCATTCAGATGTTCATAGGCAAATTTCAGACGGGTATGTATATGTGCTTTCTTGAACAGGGGGCGTAGTGTGTTACCAACTGTTTTCTTGGTGACTATGGTCCCAGCTGCCTTGAAATCATTGACAAGATCCTCCCGTGTAGTTCTGGGCTGATTCCTCACCGTTCTCATGATCATTGCAACTCCACGAGGTGAGATCTTGCATGGAGCCCCAGGCCGAGGGAGATTGACAGTTCTGTTGTGTTTCTTCCATTTGCGAATAATCGCACAAACTGTTGTTACCTTCTCACCAAGCTGCTTGGCGATGGTCTTGTAGCCCATTCCAGCCTTGTGTAGGTTTAAAATCTTGTCCCTGACATCCTTGGAGAGCTCTTTGGTCTTGGCCATGGTGGAGAGTTTCGAATCTGATTGATTGCTTCTGTGAACAGGTGTCTTTTATACAGGTAACAAGCTGAGATTAGGAGCCCTCCCTTTAAGAGTGTGCTCCTAATCGTAGCTCGTTAACCGGTATAAAAGACACCTGGGAGCCAAAACTCTTTCTGATTGAGAGAGGGTCAAATACTTATTTCCCTCATAAAAATGCAAATCAATTTATAACATTTTTGACATGCGTTTTTCTGGATTTTGTTGTTATTATTCTGTCTCTCACTGTTCAAATAAACCTACCATTAAAATTATAGACTGATAATTTCTTTGTCAGTGGGCAAACGTACAAAATCAGCAGGGTATCAAATACTTTTTTCCCTCACTGTATAGAGGGAGTTCCTTGTGCACAACTTTGTTGCTGCATATTATCTGCACTCATGTGCGTTTCTCTTATTAATAAGTTTTTCTTCCTTTCTATAATGCCATCCGCACAAGGTTGTCCACAGGCCAGGGTTATCTGAACTGAACTATCCCACACCCATTCACTTCTCTTCTTTGATACGGCTGATGTAGATGCGGAGCAACAACTACAAATTCACATTCAGGTGGTCAAGCTAGATAACCCCGTAAGGAGTAGCGGATTGTATCACCGAGATGTCTCCTTCGTATTTGTGGATCGGGCATTGCGTCGTAATATACATTCGTTAAAAGGTGGCAGCCAATCGGACATTTTCCCCATTAACTCTGGCGTTCCGCAAGGATGTTTTGTCTCGAACATAACTTATTCTGTGTATCATTGACGACTATCTTTCTCTCGCGAGACACGATCCACTCCTTTCCAGGTGACGGCGCACTACATTCATCATCCTCAAGTAAATCACACAGCTGAAAGTAAGAGTCACGTGGCTGCCCAAGGCACAGATAATTAACCGTCAAGCACCACTGTCCTGAGTACGACTGCTGATTCTGGCGACCAGAATCAGCAATCGACACTCGAGCTATGCACTTTCAAATCTAGATTAAAAACGTGTTTATTTAGAACTGCTTTCTGTGTTTAGTTTGTTGTCCTTCCCCCGCACATTTAATGATCACGGTTGGCTATGTACGGTGCGAAATAATTTCAACAAACATACACACGTACTGTACTGCTATCTTCCCATGTGTATATTTTCCGTCTTCAACAAACGAGACAGTAGAGATTCATGACACACACGATTCGATGCGTTTATTTGGCGCGTAGGAATCGATCTTAACTGATCAATCAGTTCATCGGTATCAAGTTACAGAAGGGGTCTTCTGTTCTTGCCGACAGTAGTGGTGGCAGTAACTCTGGAAGTATTTCATAAATTTCTAACGAAGTCATTGTGTTAGAATTATTGATTCATAATGGTTACGTAGTAGTAGTGGTTTCAAAAATAGTTATACTATTAGTATTATCATTCGTGGTGATGGTGCTGGCGGAGTAGCGATGATTGAGTATTGGAGGAGGCGAGGTCTGTGCAGGAGTCTTTGGGTCTCGCTCAGAGCTGGGAGCACGCGGAGTCGCGTGCCCCTCGCAGTGTTCATGCGGTGTGGTTTATGGACTCCAAAGGACAAACTGTGCAGGAAAGGGACTGAGTTCAGTTCCCTCTGGGATCTCTGACAACACCCAGTGGCTGGATTTGGAGGGAAATCGCATCGAGAGACTCACACAGGGGGTGTTTGACCCAGTGGGGCCTCACCCCCTCGCTCCGTTGAGAACTGGTGCGGTTAAATAAAGGATGCTGTGTTACAAATGGGAATTGCTTTATGTTACTGATAGCCTTGTGATGTCGTTTATAAATAACATTTACTGAGGTTATATATACACTGAGATTGCCCCGTGACAATGATGATAATGCAGGAGTTGTTTATTTTAATAAATACAAGTGTAATGTAGCTCTCAGAGACACCGTTTTGTTCAGTTATATGTATATTATGAATAAATTCCGCCGACTCACTGATGATTCAAATAGTAACAGCGAGTGACTATATACACTTGGGTAACTTAGATAGCTCTATTCTGAGACAAAATAACTCTAGCCTTCCAAGACAACAAGGTGCCCACTCCAGGGTGATGAAGACGACCCGCTCCAAGGTGACGACGGTGAAGGCAATTTCCCCACAACAGCAGCCCAGCGCCCCGGTTCGTGCCGGCTCTTATCCACCTCAGACTCGGCCACGCTCCTCTTCCCGAACCCTTTCTCACCGCACCTGGCCCTGTCTGTCTCTGCCCCTATTACAATTTACGACCGTGAGGCCCCGTGCTTCCCCTCATGTGACCCTGTCAACGCTTGTCGCATCAATCATTATTAGCAACCACTTAGGTCCCACATTTCCCTAACGTGACCCTGTCTGTTCCTGGTACATTAATTAGTAACCATGGCCATGGGGAGCCGTACTGTCCCTACATTACCTCATACTGTCCTTACATCAACCCCCCCCCCCCCCCCTTATTTTAAAAACATAGCCGTCCCGGCTAACACAATTTCAAATTAACCTCTTTCAGGCTGAATAGATCCCTCCTCTTGGTGTGAATGTTTAAAATGGTAAAAATTATTACCACCGAGGTACATGATCATGTCTGTTTCAAATCGAACAATACCACTCCATCTATGTGTTTATTATCTTCCGTACTAACCCAGTTCTTAGGATTTGAAAGCAACAATACTTATTTTTCCATCCACCCTAAAAACATACAAAACACCGTTATTATTATGTTGTTGAACAATGTGTTATTACTGAATTAAAACAGCATGCCAAAAATCGTACCTCAATATTCATGAACATCTCATCGTAGCTTCTACACATATGTAGTGTAGCACGAGGTAGTTGCAGGAGGCACCTTCTTTATTATAACTCTAAGCTCGACAGGTTTGCCCCGTAGCTTCCTGATTTCGTACAGCCTAGCCTAAACACAACCCTAACCGCGTTACACTGACGGCGTTGACCAAGACGGCCAACAACTATCCGGTCGGGCAATAATCGAACAAAGGACAGTCCCTCCAGAAAAACGCGGAGTTTTTTGGTGATTGTTGCAGGCAAAAATCATTGATTATGCGGCACGTTTTCTTAAAAAATGCGATGGAATATGCGGGATATGTATGCAATTTTATGCGATTAAATTGCGGGAACTTGCAAAAATTGCGGGAACTTGCAAAAATTGCGGTTTGATGAAAAAGAGAAAAAAAAGTGATTCCCCCAACACCCTATTCACTAGGCTACTACTTTAATGTAAAGAATCATTTCTTATTACTTCCTATGATAAGCAAGCATACTACATCACAGAAAGTGCTGGGAATATTTAAGTTCTCATCTTGTTTTATTTCAGACCTTAACAAACAGATGGCTCAAACTTACAAAACATTGAGTCGAACAAGTTCTGTAGCTTTACAAAATGAATATGCTACAACTTCTGTAAAAATGAATAAATAAAATATTAAAAAATGAAATGTGTGCTTCCTGTTTTACAGAGGTAGCTATACAAAACAGACATCTTCTGTTAAAATAAGTGTTTTCAGTGCACAGTAACGTAAGCAATACAGTAACAGTACAGTCTTACAGTAATGTAAATTTACATACTACTAACAAAAAAGTGCAATCTTACAACTGTAATGAGTGACGTCACTTCATAACGTTCCCATGGCAACAGGGGAAATGGCTGCGCTTGTGTGAAGTAAACGCAACATTTTTCAACTTTCTGCTAAGATATATGTGACTTTTTGCAACGAAAATGCGGGGATTATGAAATCATGCAAGCCCGCATATTTTGCGCGCGGAAATCTGCAATTTATGCGGCGAAAGTGCGGCGTATTTGAAAAAACGCGCCCCCCGCATAAATATGCGGACTTTGGCTGATTTTGCGTGGAAACTTGCGATCGCATAATCGCGTTTTTCTGGAGGGACTGAAAGGAGGCGAAGACGACCTCTCTCTCTCTGCAGCTTATATCCTACTCAGCGCGGCCTGGCTCAGCCCTGGCTGAGCCTTCCTTCTCAAACCCACTTGCGCGTTCCAGGGGCTTCTCGATGAGGTCTCTCGTGACCACTGCCCCAGTTCCTCCGCCCTGCGGGCACACCCCTGTATATTCTCAATGGCGTGTGCGCTAACTGCCCACCGCAGTTGCTGCTGCTGGACAGCAGTTAGTGCTGTATTACTACATCACCCCTTCCCCCTCTCTTAAAAAAAACAGTTGTCACGGCTGACAAAACAGCAGCTGCAACCGGTGGACAGGTAGAGCAATCCCCGAACCGGAGCAACACCCCTAACACCGAAAAAAAACATAACATACAGTCACAACACAACGGCGGTGCATTCCGCGAACCAACAACACACAGCCCCCAGCACAACGTGGTGCTCACTGCAACCTGACAGCACACCTGACACAACACGGTGCCTCCCGTGAACCAACAACACACCCCGCACAATGCGGCGCCCCCTTTCCCCACAGCAGGACAGCTGACCCAAGGGCTGATCGATCCGCAGCAAATATTGCAGGTCGCATGGTCAGTCCGGATGGTGAACCACCTACCATACAAATAGGGCCGATATAGCTGCACAAAAAAAAACTATGGCCAGCAGCTCCCTCCGGGTCACAAAATTACGCTGTTCAGCGGGGGGAAAAACACGGCTGCCATAGGCCACAACCCTTTCAACCCCATCGACCACCTGAGCCAGGACTGCCCCAATGTCCATGTCGCTGGCATCGGTGTCGAGAAGGAAGGGTTTTGTAAAATCTGGGTACCCCAAGGGCGCCGCATCCGCTAAGGATGTGTGAAGCGTAACAAAGGCGGCATCCTTGTCTGTGCCTCAACAAAACTTTTGGCCTTTGGCAGAGAGTGCGTGCAGTGGCTTCACTATCATCGGAAAATCGCGCACAAATCGACGATAATACGATGTGAAGCCAACAAAGCTACGCACCTCAGCGACAGATGTGGGAGTCGGCCACATCCGGACACAAGCTGTCCTTTCCGGATCCATGGTGACACCTGACACACTCACAATATGTCCCAAATACTTCACCAATGGTTGTAACATATGACATTTCTGGGGCTTAAATTTCAAGCCCGCAGCACGCACTTTGACGAACACTGATTCAAGGCGTTGCAAGTGCTCGTCAAACGTACTGCTGAAAACAATAACGTCGTCCAAGTAAATCAAATAAGACTTCCATTGTAGCCCCGCCAAGACCATCTACATGAGACGCTGGAAGGTGGCTGGGGACGAATGGAGACCCATAGGAAGCCGATTGAATTGGAACAGCCCCTGGGGTGTGTGGAACGCTGTCTTGGGTCTAGAGGCCTCGTCCAGTGGCAATTGCCAGAATCCTGAGAGCAACTTTAGGGTCAAAAAGAACTGCGCACCTAAGAGGGCATCCAGAGAATCATCCATGCGAGGCAATGGATATGCAGCAGCCACCGAGATCTTGCTTAATTTACAGAAATCGATGCAGAACCAGAGACTCCCATCCTGTTTCTTGACTAGCACAATGGGGGCACCCCAAGAGCTAGTGGATGAGGAGATAATGTCCACTGCCAACATCTCGTCGACGGCCAAGTGGACATGCTCTTTTTCTGCCGGGCTGAAGCTGTGTGACTAAACACATCGGTGAACTTCTCGAATAGTTTGCGGAGCTGCTGGCGCTCCTCGGAGGATAACCAGACATTCTCGTTACACAGCGCATTGATCCAAGATGCGTCAGTCCTCCCCTCGTGCATCATGCTCGCCACAACCCCTCCAGCCGGTAGAGGGCCTGGGGTTGCGTGTGCCAAAACGGCACCGGCCAGAACCACGATCGGTGAGGGCCCCGAATTGAGGACCTGCAAAAAGAGGTCCTGGCCTTCCGACACGGCCGTCAAGGCGCCTAACAACCCGGGTGTTCTTATAAAGTAATTAGAGGGAGACAAAAGGAAGCCCGTCTCCGGTGAGTCCAATTTCAGGGGTCTGCGCAGCCTGAGGGGTAGCAGGATTTGTAACACCGGTGGAACGATCACGGGCGCCTTATTTAAGGCCCGTAGACTGGTGGCCAGGGGGGACAAAATAGTGGGAGACTGGAGGAAGTGTAACCGATGCCCCAACGGCATTTTCACAGAACCCTTGTCCACAAGAATGCGAATGGGCATCTTGGCCAAAAAGTCAGTTCCCAAGAGGAATGGCACTGCCAAGGTCCTGGAAACTAGAATGGGCCCCTCCAAATAAATTTTGCCAATCCTGACCGATGCCACAATGTGCCCAAAATACCCAAACTGTCGCCATTTGCAGCAAAACAACCCCCTTGAATCGGCCGTAACGGACCAACGTTGTGTAGCAACAACTGAAAAATGCACTCGGATATAATAGTGGCGGACGCCCCTGTGTCCACCAAAACCCGCATTTCGACCCCCTGCACGTACCCAACCACCGCCGAGGACCCGGCAGCGGCTGCCACAACTCGATGCGCGAGCGCATCCCATTGGTGGATCTGCCTAGGCCACCCGGCGGATGGCAACGAGCGCGCAGGGGATGAACCCAACACCCCGACGATGACCCTGCGATGATGGACCCTAACCATGCTAGATGCGAGAGGTGAGGGGAGCGGCCATGTTATTGATGCATCGCGACCCGCCTGGGACTCAGTAGCCGATGCTGACATAGAGCCGAGGGAAGGCGGAGAGGCCTTGTTGAAGGCCACGGGAGCGTTGCGGCAGCCCCGCTCGATGTGGCCCTGCTGACCATATCGGAAGCAAGCCACGTTTGCAGAGCCTTGGGGGTGAGGAGGTCCTGCCCACCATTGCTGCTCTGGCTGGCGATCTCCGGCACCCCTCCCGCGGCTATCGGCCACCACCAGGGCCACGAGGGAGTCCTCCCCATGAGGTGCGGCCACCCCTGCAGGCACTGGGACCCCCGCTCACGCCGCCACACCGGGCGACTGTCGCAAGGCGAGGTGAGCCTGTATGTTTTGTGCCACCTTCAGTGATGTAATTTGGCGTTCCTCGGCGATGGACAAAGTGATCCCGAGCTCACACACCAGGGAGAACAATCGTTCCAAGGCTAGCGAGTCCAGTGCCTTGCCTTCCAGGCCGGGGTAGGCAGCCTGTGCCAGCGCCAGCAGGGAGAAGAAGAAGGCAAATGGTGGCTACCCCTCCTCCCGCCGCCGCAGCGAAAATTTCAGGCGCGTGTTCGACAGTGGTTCGAACACCGCAGCCATCTGTTAGGTTGCCGCCAGAAGCGACGCTCTATCCGCCGGAGTACCCGCAGTGCCCTGTCATCCAGGCATGTAGGGAGCGCCTGCAGAGCCTCTTCCATTGGCCAATCCACTGATGCGTATGCCGCATCGAAGCAGCGATGAATGGGCGGACTGGTGGCAACCGACGTAGCTGCTGGCCGCCCGAAATGAACATGGGCCCATCCGATGGCGTCGCGATGGAAGCAGCAGCGACGCCGGGTTGCTGAGCTGCATCAGCTCCGGCGCCCGGCTGCGGAGTCACGGCGCCAACAGTGGTGGTGTGCGGAGTTGTGGCGGCAACAGCGGCAGTGTGAAAAGTCACGGCGGCAACAGCAGCAGTGTGCAAAGTCGCAGCGGCACCGGCGGCGATGTGCGGAGTCGCAGCATCAATGGCGGCGGTTTGCGGAGTCGCAGTGGTAATAGCGGCGGTTTGCGGAGTCGCAGTGGTAATGGCGTTCGATGGCTGCGTCGTGGCTAAACTGGCGCTCAACTCCCGTGGTGCGCCCGTTGAGGAAATGGCGCCAAATTTGAACGAGGCGGGAGCCGAAATGGCACCAGAAGTTGAGATATATAGAACCCCAAGCCAGGCACATGTTGGTACATTTCCACATTTTGTATTTGTCTGGGAAGTGGCTGTTGGTCTTTCCCCAGGGGGTGTTTGACCGCCTCATGAGTCTGCAGAAGCTGTATTTGAGCGCGAACCAACTGTCGGCTCTCCCTGCCGGGGTGTTTGACAAACTGACACAACTCACTTATCTGAGTCTGCGAGACAATCATCTGAAGTGCATTCCCAGGGGAAGTTTGCTGGGCATGTGCGTCTCTAGAGCTGGATGTACAATGCCTATCTGAAACCTCTTCTTCTGCACTGCTTGACGCATGAATGGGTAGAGGATGTGTGTGGGAGTTACCACCTTGCACAGACCACGGTTTGTGCAGTGCAGTCGCTAACGATCGGCTACTGCACAAAAACTTGTATCCACCAGCAGGTGTGCCCCGCCAGGCCACTTTGTCGATTCCAGTTCAGGTGTCGGGTTGGTGGTTGGTTATTGTTTATTGTTGTTGTTGGTTATTGTTGGTTGCTGTTCTTAATGGCAGAGTGAAGCACTATCAGTCAAAGTGCACCGTTTACAGTACAGCTTGGTTAAATATTTACTCAGGTCAATTGTTCGAGTTGGCCATTGTGTGCTGACGACAGTTCCGGGACATTGCAAGAAGAGTAATGACGAAGCTAGAACCCTGGGGACCAGTGTCAGTGTAATGGCCACCAAATTTGAAATCACAACAGAGTTTACTAACCACTGCCTGCATTAGTAAAGTTTAGTTCAAGAGATTCAGATTAATTTTATTTGGAATGTTGGACGATAACTTGAGGAGTATTGCATTTAACATATAATTATTATGAATCATCCTCATGATCATCACCATCTCTTCACGATACTGAACGAGTGAGGGCATTGGGTGTCATCAATCGAGGCGACGTTGCCCGAGTTCGGCTCGAGTCACTCACCAGCTGAGACGCAGGCTGCGTGAACAGGCGCAGTTCCATGGGTTGTTGTACAGAAAGATGGCTGGGGTCGACTTGCGCCAATCACAGAAGCCGCGTAACAGTGACTGATGATGAACCCCACGCGTGCGTCATAGACACATGTATCACTCAGAGACTATTTTATATTTAACTAGCGGGAAGTACCTGGCGTTGCCTGGGCAAAAAAGACACACACACATAGACTTACACCCACACACAGATACTGACCCACATACACGTAAACCTACACGCACACACATATGGACTCAAACACACACATCGACTCACACACACATGGACTTAGACACCAATTCCCGATGATGCCACAGCTCGAGCAATTTTCTCCCTCTGGCAAACTTTAGCGAGGAGCAGGTTGAGAACAAAGGTGTTCATACTCTTTGGTTCTTTCAGGAAAGTCTTGCTGTGGTTGTTCCCACCTGATGACGGACGCTTGTGTTGCGCCCAAAACGTCGTGATTTATTTAATTAATTTATTTATACCTACGTGACTTTACCGAAAGAACCAAAGAGTATAGATCCTTGCAATCACGATAACTTTAAATCTAGAAAAAAAGTGTTTTCAGTACCGCAAAAGTGCTTCGAGGAAAGAAATGACTCTTTTTAGTATTAATGTCTTCCAAAATTTCACGTAGGCTTCTCTTTGTGCATCCATCAGCTGTGGTAAATTTTTCTCAATACATTTAAGAAGCTGTAATCCATCGTATGATATTTCACGTAGGATCTGTTGAGCAAGGGCATGCAGGTTGTCCCCGTAGGCCAGGGGTCGGCAACCTACGGCTCCGGAGCTGCATGCGGCTCTTTACGGGCTGCTTCTTGACGATATGTACGTATGTACAGTATGTACTCAGATGCATTGCGGCTCTTGAAATACTGAATTTTGTACCGAATTGGAAAGAAATGGCTCTTCTTGTTAATTTGGTTGCCGACCCTGCCGTAGGCTGTTGGTAGTCCCATAGACATGAGGTCTTTTCCACCAATGGAGTTTAGTTTGTCCTCAAGGAGAATGAGGGCCTGGTTGAAGATGGCATCAGAAAAGTTGACGTCGAGGTTTGAATTTTCTCGTTGAGCTCTGTGGAGGATGTCCTCACTTATGGCCTCTGTATTTTTGGCAGAGTCCCATGGGGTTAGATGGGCTGCAAACTTGAAGATGTATGCATAAGAGCAATATCAGTTGGGAAGGGGACTAACAGACACTTCTATCATAGCTTAATCATGATGCTGATCGTCATCAAGAATTCCACGAAAATTGCAAGCTTCTCTGTATGTTTGACAGACAACCCCTTCACTGTTTTGAGGTCTTGGAAAGATTTGGGCCCTTTGACAAGACTGAGAAGCATTCGGAGAAAGTAGCACTCCTGTTTATTGGAATTAACTGTGTAGAGTCTTCGTAAGGCATCAGATTCACCGTTAGCAGCACGTCTCTTCCATGTTTTTTAGCAGTCCATGTATAGTAAGAGGGAACTTAATGGTGGAGCAGGTTGGTAGCAAATGGGTAACTTTGGCACGAAACAAAGAACGCCATCAGGGTGGTATCTGTGGTGGCATACCGACTGTGGTGGGACCTGCCAGCACTAAAGCAGTGCATACCGGCTGTGGTGGCAGCTGCTATCACTAGAGTAGTGCATAGCGACTGTGGTAGTACCTGCTATGATAGCAGCAGTGCATACTGACTGTGGTGTTACCTGCTGTGATTACAGCAGTGCATACTGACTGTGGTGGTACCTGCTATGATTACAGCAGTACATACTGACTGTGGTGGTACCTGCTATGATTACAGCAGTGCATACTGTCTGTGGTGGTACCTGCTATGATTACAGCAGTGCATACTGACTGTGGTGGTACCTGCTATGATTACAGCAGTACACACTGACTGTGGTGGTACCTGCTATGATTACAGCAGTACATACTGACTGTGGTGGTACCTGCTATGATTACAGCAGTGCATACTGACTGTGGTGGTACCTGCTATGATTACAGCAGTGTATACTGACTGTGGTGGTACCTGCTATGATTACAGCAGTATATACTGACTGTGGTGGTACCTGCTATGATTACAGCAGTACATACTGACTGTGGTGGTACCTGCTATGATTACAGCAGTACATACTGACTGTGGTGGTACCTGCTATGATTACAGCAGTGCATACTGACTGTGGTGGTACCTGCTATGATTACAGCAGTACATACTGACTGTGGTGGTACCTGCTGTGATTACAGCAGTGCATACTGACTGTGGTGGTACCTGCTATGATTACAGCAGTGTATACTGACTGTGGTGGTACCTGCTATGATTACAGCAGTGCATACTGACTGTGGTGGTACCTGCTATGATTACAGCAGTGTATACTGACTGTGGTGGTACCTGCTATGATAACATGTTGTATATATAGGCCTTTTTCCATTATCAATATTAAGAGTAATTCTGCCAATATTTTTTCCTTAATAATCAATCGGGGTGTAGCATGAGGCACAAACAAAAATGTAACAACCACCCTCACCCCCCTCACGAGCAGCCGCCTTTGTCACTCGGGACCAGAGAGCCGGAGGTACAGTAAACCATAAAATGGTAATTAAAAAAAACCAGAACCAAAGAGAAGATGTCGGGAGTTCTCTAATGAGATTCTGGGGAGATCTCATGACAACTTCAATGACCACCACCAAACAGGCGGCCAGCTTGTCCAGGGCAGCGAAAACCAAACAGACACGTTTTTGTAGGCTATTTTAGTTAAGGGAAAAGTTCAAAACATAGCGACAAGAATAAGTGAACACCATAGACCCACACACTCACTCCGATTAAAACCAGGCTAAAATCTACATTAGTTATTATTATTTCTCATTCATTATTTTAATACTAATGTTATTCACATTAAATATTATTATTATTATTATCCTTCCATCTACACGACTTGACCGAAAGAACCAAAGAATGAAATCTTGGATAAAAATAAACCAAATAATAATTATGAAGTATTGGACCGAGGGTCGTCCAGAAGAATCAAAGGCGAAATAAGTCAAGCATACATAACCAAGATAAAATGTATTCCATAGAGAACCCTCCCAGCGATTACTTTACACTGCATTCTGTTAACACTGCAATACAAGTCACGCGTGCCCAGCTTGACGTGAGATAGCATCTGCGCTGACTTGGCAGAGCGTGACATCAAACAGGTGAGGAGTAGACACAACGGACATCGATACGGCTTGGGATCAGTCGAATCAGTGATGGTTTATGGCAGCGGTGGCCCGTGGTCGGTTCATTAATCGATCTTGAATGTACTGGCTCCCGACATAGGAGTGTGGAATTTCCACATCTGCCTTGCGAAGAAATTGTCAAAATGTTGCAACAACAGTAATGATGACGCTCCAACCAATATCAGTATAACGGCCACCATATTTGAAATCAGACCAGCAGTGGATAGACAAAGGGCTTGGAATGATGCATTTGATGTTTCTAACAACACCAAGCCGTTCGCATGCTTGATCGGTGAGTAAAATGCAACCAACGCTGTTTGTAGTCGTTACATTGACGCAGCTATAGTCGTCATAAAATAGTGGACAGCGAGTGTCTGAGGTTTCTGCGCAATGAGGAACTCGCGTCTCTCCCCGCTGGGGTGTTTGACAAACTGACCCAACTCACTCATTTGCTTCTGTACAACAACCAGCTGAAGAGCGTTCCCAGGGGCGCGTTTGCCAAACGGAGCCAGCGCTGCCATGAACGGTCGCTGCTATATTTCTGGGCACCGGAAAAGAGACGACGCTCAGCACGAGTAGCGTTCAGTTTCCAAAGCTACCACGTTATTGACTTCCACGGTCATCGTTAGCATCATCCTCGTCATGGTGCCCTCTTGTGCTACGAGTTAATCTGCAGTGTCACTGAGCAGTGAGGTGCGCATCAGTGAACATTGTATGGAGTGAATTGTGTGAATAATTAGAGGTGATATTAAGCGTTTTTAGAAACTCACGCGTGATGTGCGGACTTGGTCAGTGCAGAAACAACAGAACAACGTCATAAAATAGCACAACATCCACACAATACATGAAAAAACAACACCCTAACAAAACAACCATCCAACACCACAGAACAGTACAACAAGAGCAATAACACAAACGCAAAACTCTCCTCAAACAGAAATTTGCCACACATCCCATTGTAGTAGCATCCTACTGAAGACAGAGTCTCGGGACTCGAAGAGGCTGCATTGGACAAGCGCATTTTGGAATTCATTCCA